AACAAATTTAATTTAACATAATTTATATTCTTTTGCCAAGTGGTGAGATTGAGAGAGGCATCCATGTCTTTCCTTAGTTAAGATGAAAGACAAAAGCAGCAACTTTTGCTATAAATAGATCGTTGTATATCACAATTGCGACAAAAAAAGTGCAGTCATAAGAGTTAGCCACCATTGTATATCATTTGCTCTTAAATACTGAATCAGCAGAAATAAAGAATCCTAAAGATTATGCACACACGATGAATTATCAGCAGAAACATCCATAAAACAGAACATTTTAAGCATTAGTTCGTGTAAGGCAATATATTGGTGAATTAAATAACGGTGATGGACATCTATCTCAATCTCCCATTACTTGTTCTAGGTGTACAGATTAAGAGAGGCCCTAGAAACAATATATCAGGAAATACATTCATCAGAACATTTATCACTTTAAGAGAACATATTAACATATTTGTATAGCGTTCCAACTTCCAGGATGGACTGACACTTTTTACAATTATTCTGAAAATGGCACTCATTTCAACAATGCTTAATCCCTCAATCTCAATGGAACTAGTATTAAACATAACAAAACTGCTTAGTTTTCTGGAGGAAAGCGGAAGGTTATTAGAATAGACTATACGCACCTCAACATTATCACCATAGAGGTTGAGCCTGTGATTTTCATTGTTGAAAACCTGGGCAGGGTACTTGTTTCGAGCGTTGCAAGCCATGTCATCTGCCAGCATGAGTATTATCCTCTCATCAGGTATTCCTAACCGTTTAACCGTTCTGACATAAACACAAACATTAATAAAACTGGCAAAATCTTCATTTTATTCATTTTTAATACATTAAATACAGAGTAGAAAAAATGAAGACAACAGCAAACTATGGATAGACAAAAAGAAGAAACCTCAGTTACCTATACAAGGATAAAGTATTAGCCATATGTCTATAGTTAAACCTGAAAGACCAAACATCATCTATGTGAGCATATCGAATCATCAACCTTCAACAAAGAACTCAGCTAATGATTATTAATGGCCAATTGTTCAATTAACAACTTATCTTTTATTTTTTAAACATTCAGTAACTCATAATATGAAAAGAAAAAAATAAAAAATAAAAA